ATGACCGATCTGATGTCCAATTCGAGATCGTTGAGGATCGACACAGTGCAATCCGGCCATATATGTTCTTTCGTTCATTGTGCGCACTCCGATACCATCAGCAAGAGTTTATTTGCTCAATGGGACCATTTACAGTTCTTACAACGGTCCCACGGACTCCCACAAACATCCCCACTTCCAGATCGGGCCATAATTAACCTAAATCAGTACCCCCTTTGGGAGATCAGTAGAGAGCATCACCGATCTGCAGGATGTTACACCTTCGTCACCGGGTCATATCACATCACCTGGTCCCAGATCCTTGTCCCAGATCGCTCCATTAAAATCGTTCTATCTGTCGTCTTGTCCCAGATCGCTCCGTCTCAGGTCGATCCATATCCATCAGTTTGGTGACAGTTGGACCAGATCGCCGATTCCCGTTGAAATCGGTTTCCATCTCCTCATTGGATCGCCAAGTCCCGTGGACCCGTTTTCCGCCAGTAAGTGACACCTTAACTGAGTGGCCACCAATCCACGTCCCATCATTTAATTTAATTAATGACTTTACCACATAAGCGACAAATTGACACCACGCTGCCTCATGCTCTGTATGTATATATCGATATATAGGTATACAGATGAAAATATATATTTATATATATCGATACCGCTAAGGCAAAAGGCAATTATAGTTACAATGTCAAATTAGGAAGATATCTATGTTTTAGAGATGCAAACGCAATGGCTTTACAATCGGTTGATGATACTTAACCCCCCCCATTTTTTCTACTTTTACCCCTTTGAAACTTAAATAGGGCGCCTTCTATTTTTCATAACTCAGTGCAATGTACAGGTTCACACGGCGCGTATATATATTATATAACAAGATGAGCTTGCGTACAACATTGTCATACGTCTTTTGGAAATATACGCGTTGGGATAATGCGTGTTCAACTAGAGAACGACAATATTATCACGAAATGTTGAGACATCAAGGTTACAGTTGTGTGAGCTTCTAGATACGGAGATTTAGAAGCTACTATATACGTATTTTCTGTACTATAACAAGTAGGTGAGATCAACATAGAAAGGGAGACAACGATCCACCTTAAATTTCCTGCTCTAGAAGCCAAGCGGGTATTTAAGTGTTAAAAATGGACGTATCGTCTATATGATGCATTTTGCTCTTGATTAGAGCTGACAACAACGAAAAACGTTTCCCTATAAGGTCAAGCGGATCACGAGCACGCCTAGGATGTCCGGAATATGGATGCTGGAGCTGTAGAATCCCGCGAACGACATTTGATCACGAGAGTGATCTCAAGCGGCGCTAGATGACTGTGCAGAAACATTTTTTAAGCGTCATACGAACGTCTCACAGTGCCGTTGTTGCGTAATAACTAATCTTCTTGCTGGTCCATAATCTAACTGCTTACTTCAATATGGTGATCAAGACGAAGAATAATAATAACAGCAAAAACGTGTCGTATAATGCAATACCGACCCTACATCAGCTCTACGATAATCGCAAAAAAACAAACTACGAACATGCTAATGTCTCACACAGTACGACCTGCAGGTGCGCTTCCGTTTTGCTTTGTTGTTTTCTTATTTTCTTGGTGTTTTTGTAACCATGCAGTTGACGATACATAGACCACGAAGCTCTGTACGCCATGACCAATGAATGATGCTTGTTGTCTTGTACCCACGCCTCTAACTGATTCGACGATCGTTGTACAATACCGAGTATCCCCTAAACCCTTGCAAAATTGGTGCATGAGCGCTTGTTTTGCCCATATTGACTGCAGATACTGCACTTCCGATTCATGATAGCAGAACCCTCGATATATGCAAACGCAGACGGGTCTGGCGGCTGCTTGTGTTGGTTTGTTGCTCCGGATGATCTTCCTTTTGGTTTTGTTTCGACTGGATATCTCACCGACACGCTTGGACCCATCAATAATGTATCAGTGATGTGGGCTCGAAAAGCAATTTTCTTATGGGTTGGTGCTGAGTCGAATACTAGAAATAGATTTAATACCAAGTCATCAAGTCGAACGATGCTTTTCAAGTCTTCTGCAGCAAAAGCAGGAGTAAATTCTCCAACCACTAATGCGAGTCAAACTCTTGTAGTATGAAGGGTGCATCAGCGTTGATTTCTTATGAGTAGAGTGCTTGCACGATAGGCCCATAGTTAATCGGAACTTGTAATCGCATTGATAGTTTGATGCATGGTGTTAGTGGACAAGGGTGAGCGCATAAGATGACACCTTATAAACAACCTGTCTGTATATGGGCAATGCTGCGAATGTTTGATCTTTTTTGCGATCATCAGCGTGCATCTTGTTCATCTCCACCACTTGGTGCTCGTTTGTTAAGTGGAGACTTTGAAACACTGTGATAAGATCACGAACCGACGATCTCAAAAAGCGCTTCACGTACGAATATACTGACTCAGCTCTAGATGTAGTGGAACAGCCGATGTGGAAGACGTCTCCCACCCACGCTTCAACAAACTTCTTTTGTGCTTGACCCACGTTCTATCCAGGTAGCGTTTGACAAAAGGTAGATGTCGGTACTTAGTCTGAAATTCGTCCCATTGTGCTTCGAAAACTTCGACACTTGATGCATCGCAGAGAGCGTTCCAGTCCGCGATCATCTCTTCTCAATCATTGCCATTCGTAAGTTGAACTTTGCACCTGGCAACAACTTATTCATTTGTGTGCCAGCAGCACAGCAATCTTGTCGCATTCGGAAATACTTTCTGCTAAGCGTTAAAGAGAGCCGAATTGTTATCGCTGACCAGAATTCGCAGAAGGTTGTCATTTCTTCGACTCTTAAGCACCTTCTTAAGAGCGGTTAGATACCATTCGTGATTCTTTCCGTCCTTTCTTAACATAAATGTTGAGCAAATGAAGATGACTTTCCAAACGGGGTGACGCCAAAATAATTGAGCATGGGCATCTCGAACTTGTTTGTCTTGTCCGTGCAGTCGAGTATGATGACGTCACAGAACTCTGCAGCAAAAGCGATGAGATGAGAATTTGCAAACATCAGGCGGCAGATTTGACTCTTTGCGTCAAGACTGAAATCATAGCAATAGTTTTTTGCTTGCGGCTCGTCGAACAGCGATTGAATCGGCATACGTCCATTCAAGTACCCTCTGCGTTCCTTCTGTTTGTCATTGTATATATCACTGCTTACGCTGCAGACGTCCTGATACTTCTGTCTGAGGAACGCAAGTTAGTCTTTTGGCCGCACACCTGCTCTCTATAGTTGAATGCGCTTGCTTTGTTGCTAAAGGTTGCTATCTAGCGCGAGAATGGACTTCGAGGTTTGTAGACATGTTATGGTTGTGAGCTCCTTCATGTCGGGTCACCTGCCACATCTTGTCAACGCCGATCTGTCGCGCTATGAGTCGGTACTCGCATCATGTACGTTTTGTCTTGGTCTTCCGCACGACAGCAGTAGACTTGTATGATCCGGCTCGGTCGCACACAACAATCCTTTCCCCTTTTTATAGTCGGACCTGAAGATAGAAAGAGTAAACTTATTCTTGCGCGCTTACAATTGGAGAGCCGTGAACATCTCCTTTGCTGAAGGATACTTGACTTCGAAGAATCCATCAGACTCCATCAAATTTTAAGCAGTTCCTTATGGTAGTTGTTAAGTTATTAAGTGAATGGTAGTGCATAGTACCTATTGATATAGTTGCCATTATTGATTCCGTATAAGTTGTAAAATACACCCTGTTTCAATTCTAGGGTGGTGAAAATAGTAAAAATGGGGGGGGTGAAATATCAATTCCCTTACAATCATGTAATATGAAAGTTTTCACGTTATGTTGAAGCGTGAACTGACCTTTAGCTTTTGGTCCAAATTACTGTTGCGAGAATTTGATGTAGAGGGCCCAAGTGATGAATGATAGAGAGAAGGACGCAGATATGCGTGAATGTATGCAAACAATCCCAAGAATGTTTATAGTCGGTCGAATGGTTTTCACAAGTCGCACATTTATTCTTTTTGTTACTTCAGGCATCATCAATATTACTTCATGCAAAAATAATGATTTAAAATCTGGTGTTGCATTGCTACGAATATTTGGTGCAACGTTTCGATGCACTCATCCCGTAATTCTTCGTATTGTCTTGTGTATGATTTCCTCTTTTTTTTACCCGGACACCAACGCGCTTTTGTGCTTCACGAAATATGTCGCTTTTCTGGCTTTGGCAAAGTTTTTTGCGATTATTTTACAAGGTTTGCTGCGAGCTTCAGGTCAGTCAATGCTTTTCTATATTCCTACACGCTCTCAAAACTAGATGATGTCACGTTCAATAATTCGATGACGTGTACGCTAATCCTAATTGTGGCAGGTGTGACGACTACCTGGTGTAAATGATGACGTACTTATAGGCGCGACTTTGTTTTAGAACCTTCATTGTGAGATCGAAAGATGCCATAGCAACACTTACAACACAGTCATAAACTGCCTGACTCGACTTGTCAATATGCTTTGAGCTCATGCGATAAGGTGCACTGTGGACATCGTGCCGCAATGAAACGCGCTTGCCCCACCGAGTAAAGTGGTTTAGACATCGCCTCATTCATAGCGCAAATATTGCTGCGACAATGAATCGATAAGTAGGATGCATCAAATCGATTGCGTTTCCACGTATCGGTAGTGCTGATGGAATCCAATGCAGCAGTATCAGGCGACGTTTGCGTTGCTGTGTGAACATCACGGTGTGCAAATTCACTTGGACACCTTTGTTATTCGCGGTCAGTTCTGATACGTGGCCATTCCCGGGCGTCATCAAGACGCATCTTTCCCTTGAGCCAGGTCTCTCACTCAGCCATCGCGTTGCACCAGGGCATCTCTTTGGTTGCCATTCTTCACGGTTATGTCTACTGTGCGACCTCCAAAAGCTTGGTTTGGATTTTGATGACGACCGGGTTTGCTGTCGACTTGTTCCTGGGCGGTGTCTTCTTGTCCAGACACTTGTCCAGATACTTGTCGACGATCAACTTGACCTCAGGGTGAGGTTTTGCAGTATCGTTTTGGTCGATTCCGCCACTGTCATGATCGCGTTCGAAACCTTTTTTCCAAACTCCTTGATTTTCGTGTTAATTTTGTTCGCGGTACGATCAGTAGCCTTCGTTTTCTGGTGCCGGGTCGACCTGCGAGAAAAGCTCTTGATCTTCACCTTGAAGTTCAATTTGCGTTTCTTCAGTCTGTTCTTGATTGCGTATTTCGTGGCTGTCATCAACATGGCTTTGACCCCATCTGTCAGCTCCGTGAATTTCGTCTTAGGAGGTATGATTGAGCCGATGGCTACTTTCTTCCGGTCCGGTGCTAAGTTGCCCAAATGCTTATCAATGTTTATTTTGATCATTTTTGCGCTCGTCTTGAAAAACAGTTTAGTGGACTTGACCGCAGCTTTCACCGCGGCGTCGGCGACCTTCTGTGCAAATCTCGTACGCTTGGTCTGGATTTTCACGGCCAAATCAGCGGCAATCCTTTTCCGATGCGGTAGCAGCTTGTTGATAGAACGCACGATGATATTCTCCAACTTCGATGCCTCCTTTTGAAGTGTCTCTCTAATGACGAAAGTTGCGGATGTCATTACCAGGTCTGTGACCAGCTCACCAAGCATCTTATTGACTTTCATGACAGCCGGACTACCAGCCAGCGTCGTCCACATCGATGCCGACTTTCTTGATAGCCCATTCAAAGCCGCCTCGTAGTTCAGTGCGAGCGCTTCAACTGAGGTCTTACCCTTGGTCGCACCGTTTATCATGAGGTTGGTGGCCGTCTGTGAGAGCTCCGTAATCTTGGTCTTCATCATTTGAGAGGTCGGATTATTGCCCAGCTGGGTCCAAAGTGGTGCCGCCGCTGCCAGAGACGTATCGATGGTTGCCTTCAGTTGCGCAGCGAGATTCGTAGCTTGCACCTTTGCTGTACCCGTAGCTGCCAATGCTACGTTCGTGGCTTTTGCCACCACGACGCTTTGCGAAGCCTTCGTGAATAGCGACTTGACTTTTTCAGCGATGCCAATTTGCCTCTCCTCACCGTCGACTTGTGCCGCTTCCGAGTCGCTGTGCACAGGAGGAGCCTCTTCCAGAAGCGTCTTCGTGCCTAATTCGTTGGCGTGGCCATCCACCACGAGATCCACGCGAGCAACACCGGACCCAAGAACAGCCTTCGGGTCGACCGCGGACGAGATGGCGTCGCTCCAAGCCAACAGGTTCACCACAGTCGCCGCGACGACGTACGCGAGACGCATGTTTTCGTACGGGTTCAGTCCAAACGGCGTAGCGCAGTTGGTCGTGCGGACCGTCTGACGCAGAATGCGGTGCCAGCCATCGCGTCTATAGCTCCTTCGACCAACACTGACTGACCCATTGTATGCAGCAGGTCCGACCCTAACCTCGCTCTTGGACCGGCTATGGTGAGGGAGAGGCTACATACCCCCGGCATTATTGCTAAATGCACCAGCGCCTACCCATTAGACTTGATATTTATATGACAACAGTGCTTTCACATTCATGCCACGTCAATTCAAATATTACATAGCAAGCTAAGTAGAAATGCACCTGTAACGTAGCCCCGTCAATTCAAATAGAAATCCTCGATTGTCTAGTGCATGATGATGAAACCCTTCTTCCACCTTTACTTTTGATGCTGCCACTGCTGAGGTCGTTGATGCTGATACTGATTCTGTCGTCGCTGACAATCAGGCTACGTTACAAGTTGATGGTGGCCAAAATCCTGCCGCCGCTGATCTCTCATGGATCTGCGAAGAATCTCCACCGGTCGGGCCTTTTGACAGTCAAAAGACGGCTGTAGAGGCTTTGAAGCAGTACGCCGCACACCAAGGGTTTGAAGCAGTACGCCGCAACCAAGGCTTTGCTATTAGTGTATCCCTCAGTCGCTCAATTTATCCCAAGCGCACTTTTCTAGCATATTCGTATGCAAAATCATATAGGAGATCCTACAGTCGGCACACGTCACTGCGAAACGGAGGAACAAAAAAGGTCGGCTGTTCATACGAGCTCGTGATCATTTATGATAAGCACGCCCGAAAAAATTGCCTGGTCAACTTTTTTTGTGGACAGCTGACACACCTGCCACTCTCGTTGTATCACCAAGACCACGCGCTTAGCGCTACCGGCGGCGCGACGTGATACGCGAGAAATAGACGATATTAATTCTAAGGTCGTCCAGATGCATTAAGATGGAGCTGCTCCACGGGCATGTGTGCGTGTTGAAGTCATACATAGCAGGTCATTATCTGCTTTTTGCCTGTATGTGATTATTATAAGTTATTGTCAACCAGTCTAAGGAGGCGGGTGTCCTTATAAATGCCAAGGATGTCCACAATATCGTTCAGAAGACAAACAGAAAGGCACTTGGTGGAAAATCACACACGGAAGCTCTGCTGCAGCACATGACGGACCAGTATTATATCCATGGTTGCAGTGAACAAAAACAACCACGTTTGACACCTGTTTTGGTACCCGTCTGACCATGAACTTGACAAACCGTCATGACGAGTTGGAGGTGGAAGAAGGGCTTAGTATTACGCATTAGACAACGGAGGAATTGTATTTGAATAGACGTGGCCTGGCTGCGTCACCACTGTTGTGATATAAACATTAAGTTCAATGGGTAGGCGCTGGTGTATATAGCCTCTCCCCTGCAGACCCACTTCCGGTCGCGCGATCAGCCTGGCGATCAGATATCTTTCCCGTGAACAGCTCTTTGTGCAAACAGACAGTCAGTGGTGTGTAGACACGCGCGCTACATGTGACATTGTTGCTGCCATTTTTAGTATGGGATACGTAGAGCTCGGCGTCTCAGTCAACAGCTGGCAGTCCCCACCAGAAGGTCTCGGATTTTTAACATGGCACAAAGTGCCTGTCGTGCTGTGAACCGCTAGGGAATCAGAAAAAGAGCGAACAAGCCCCGGCGTTGTGTCGTCGTCGTCGCCAGTTCAATGGCCTCATCAGATCATCATAGCTGAATCCAGTTAATAAGCAATTGTCGAAGAGCTCCGCGTGCTGATCCACAGGTATCACTTTGCAATTTGATTGCATCCACCACCACCACCGCGGCCAACAACAGCAACAACAACAACAGGCCCGCACCCGTCTTTTCTACTGGAACAACAGGAACCATGCGTCTGGCCTACTCCGCTGCTGCAGCTTTCGTCGCTGTTTTCGCTTCCAGTGACGCACTTATGACTGGTGTCAACGCGAACGCACTTCTCGAGTCCGACGTCTCTTTTGTGGATCGCGTGGCGGATGGCGACGTCTACGACGCGGACACAAAGAGGCTTCTGCGGGAGTCTCTTGCAGACGGTCATTCGACACAGTCTCTAGAACCTGGGGAGAGAGTTGGCCCAACTGTCTTTGAAGGAGTGACGCCGGCACTAGAAAAGATTGCACAAGGTTCCTTTCTAGCCGGAGCGGTACACCATCTGATGGACGCGAAGGTCAGAGTTGCCGAACAGGCCAAGAAATTCATCGAGAAGGACTACATCATCATTAAATTGATCAAACAGATTATCGAGCCGATCGCAAAGTGGGTTACGAACAACTCCATCTACAAAACCATCATTGACAAACTTTTGGCTGTCAAGATTGACGGTAGGTCGATCAAAGACCGCTACACGGATGCTATGATGAGAAACAAAAAGATTCAGGACGTGGGCAAAGAGTTAAAGGTAGCCAAGAAAAGCGGAGATCGCCGTGATGGTGATGTCAAGCCACCAGCGAATGGCGAGGGTCGCCCTGTAGTTGAAGCCAAGCCAACTGCGAGCGTCGAGGGTCGCCCTGTTGTTGAAGCGAAGCCAAATGCGAGCGTCGAGGGTCGCGTCACAGTTGAAGACAAGCCAGCAGCGAATGTCGAGGGTCGCCCTGTTGTTGAAGCCCAGCCAACTTCGAGTATTGAGGGTCGCCCTGTTATTGAAGCGAAGCCAACTTCGAGCGTCGAGGGTCGCGTCACAGTTGCAGACAAGCCAGCAGCGAATGGCGAGGGTCACCCTGTAGTTGAAGCCAAGCCAAGTGCGGATGTCATGGGTCGCCCTGTTGTTGAAGCGAAGCCAACTGCGAGCGTCGAGGGTCGCGTCACAGTTGAAGTCAAGCCAGCAACGAATGGCGAGGGTCGCCCTGTTGTTGAAGCAAAGCCAACTGCGAGTATCGAGGGTCGTGTTACAACTGAAGCCCAGCCAACTGCGAGTGTCGGGGGTCGCCTCACAGTTGAAGCAAAGCCAGCAGTGAATGTCGAGGGTCGCCCTGTTGTTGAAGCCAAGCCAAGAGCCGATAATGGCGTAGTCCACTTCGATGGTGTTGTCAAGACAGCAGCGAATGGGAATGGTCGCGTCGATTCTGATAATAAACCGGAGGCAAACCGCGATGATCTCTTAGATGATTATTTTTACGAGAAGCCAGAGGAGTATCCCAATGATCGTTATTATTGGAGACATTGAGCAAGCAGTTGATGTTGTGGTATATTAAGATGTTACAAAGAAGATTCGGAGATCATTGTGAGGGCACAGCTGGCATAAAGGATGATTTGGCGCATGTACTGGATCCATTCTTTGCGCGAATGGTGATTAGGCGAGAAGTGTCCAGTCACTAATGTGTACGAAATTAACGTACATCTGCCATGCCATTGCTAATGCTGCTCATTCATCCATGCTGCTAGTGTTCGGATACAAGCGACATGAAACATATCCATCTTGCGTTTGTAGTTGGTAAGACAAGGTACGCAAGCTCTGGAGCCCGCATTGTTTCAGTATTTTAGTCCAAAGAATTGCGATAGGTTGTAGTTTATCGGCAACCAATTTGGCTGAGCATGGGTTGTGTGCGGTGTTATCTTGTTTGTTGTACCCTGTGTTAATTCTTTGTTGTAGATGCATTGCAAATTACGTTCAGGGTGAAAAATGAAATGGCCGAATATGTTTGTGCATCGACAACAGCAGCGTAACGCGGCCGACAAAATGAAATCATACGATGACAAGAGAATAGGAGTTGGTTTTTGTTCAGGTGACGAGCAACAATAGTGGCTGCTTACTTGGAGGAGGTATATCTTTCTCCATCATCTATAAAGCACTATATGGTTGTGAAGCATTTTTAATGCTGTGAAGCATTTTTAACTGTCCTATCGTGGTATCCTATTGTTGGAAATAGAAGTAAGCCATACCTGTAACGGGGCAGCCCGTTACATGAAATTGTCACTTTAAGGAAAGTGACAATAAAGAATATAAAGATGGATATTCTTTAAAACAATATCACCAAAGTGGTGATATTGAAGGGTCGACCAAAGGGTCTGTTCATTGGTTGATATCGTGATGATATCAACCCACCACTCGCCGCAAGACGCGCGCAATGAGTGGTGACGAGACGTCACCATACATGCAGTTATATTAGTATAATTGAATTAAGTCAAACGAAGAGACAGTAGTTTAAAGACTTAATTTATTAATATAACAGTTCTACTTTTACCCTACCTACGCTTCTTCGCTTGCCACGTGTACGTCCGTCGGGGCACCCAAATCCCTTGCGTTAAGTTACGCAAGGTTGTGCCCCGTTACACCTGGTAGCACTTTGCAGTCCTTCCAAGGACCACATCATCCAACATGTTCATGTTGGATGAAGAAGACACCTTTCACGCCACGCGTGAAGGGTTTACCCATTTGAGTGACATCGAATGGGGTGCGGTAGAACGAATGAGTTCTACCGTAGGCGAACTCGTCATCAGCACCATGTTGGAGTCTCTAGACAGAGACTAACAACATGCCGCTATCGCCAAGTTCATTCAGAATGAACTTGCTCTCGAGAGGGAGAAAGTAGCCTTGCTTCACCAGCAAGGCTCTCAACAGGCCGAGCAGTTGAGAGAACTCGGTGCTCAACAGACGGAGCTGTTGAGACAGCAGCAATTCCATGCTGCTGTGGGCGGGACGGCGCATGCGCGTCGTCCCGAAGTCATGAAAGTCGACATTTCCAAGTACAGTGGAGTCCCGGAGGACTCCCTGTTACTATGGTTTGTCGAATTCGACAGAGCCCAAAGGGATCGTCGCGTCGAAGATGAGCAAATGAAACTCACATTTGCTCAGACCCACTTGGCAGGGCGTGCCAAAACTTGGTCCCTGGGACTCGAGAGTAGCGACCCAAATGTGTTTAGGTCGCTAGATGACTTCAAGTCCCGGCTCAGACAAACGTTCGAGCCGCCACGTGCTGAGTTCAGGGCTCGCTCAGAGCTTCTGAAACTCAAGCAGGGTAAGCGTGATGTGCACGCTTACGCACAACATATACGACTCCTTGCGAGTAGTATAACTGCCAACCCAGTACATGAACACACGTTGATTACGGTGTTCATGCAAGGGCTCGCAGAAGGGCCCGTCAGGAGCCACCTGTTCCGCCTTGAGCTGAATACGCTGGAAGATGCGATATCAGCCGCGGAACAGGAAGACTTTAGCATGAGACAGGCTCATGCTAGCTCAAAATCTTACCGTCCACCGAGACGACAAGAGATCGGAGGTCCAAAACCAATGGACCTCTGCTATGTTGAGAGCGAGAGACCTCGCTCTACAAACAACAAGCGACTGCAGAGGTGCAATCGCTGTCAGAAGTTAGGGCACTACGCATACGAGTGTAGTGGTCCATGCCCAGTACCAAACAGTACTGAGCGAAATGGACGACCTTTTGCCAGAAAGGGCAATGGGCGTGGGTCCAGCGCTGTTGCGAAGCCGCAACAGCGAGACGGACCATCAAAAAATGGTCGGGGTTAGTAGGGGCGGAGCGCCCTACTGACCTAGAAACCTCAAGAGAATTTGCAAATCTCTAGACGAAAGTTGCTCCAGATACACAATCATTGTGTGTCTCTGCACCTTGTGATGACGTTTCGCTCATCACCTTGAAGTTGGAAGCGACAAATGATTTGTCGCTTCGTGCCCTAGTAGACTGTGGGGCGTCGAACAACTTTGTTCGTCGCCAGTCACTAGAGGGTCGTAGGCTCAAGTTCGTTGAGCGCGACATTCCCCCTCACAAGGATGACGGTGCGCCTTGCAACAGGCGGATCTAATATTGTGAAGAAACGTGTAGTAGGAATCCACTACACGTTAGAGGGCGAACAGTACGATGATGACTTCATCGTACTAGATCTGGATGACAAATTTGATGTCATCCTGGGATTACCTTGGCTCAGAAAGTACGAGCCAAGAGTGAGCTGGCAGCATCGATCCGTGAAGATGCCTGCTGCTTGTTCATCAGATGGCCATCTGATGAACATCTTGGAGCGTCCACAAGCGTGTAAATGTTCTGCGAGTGAGTGCGATGGCCTCACTTGCGGTACGGTCGTTAGCACGACTGCACAAGGTCACAGTGTAGTTGATCACTACACTGTGGAGCAATCTTTCGGCGGCTGTACAGATGTACAGGCTGCGCCGAAGGTTCACCACTCGAATAAGTCGAGTGGACCGGGACATGGATGCATGCCTAGCGGGCAGCATCTTAGAAGAAAGAAGTCTGTTGCACCCAAGGGGCAACATGAAAATCCTAGGTCGACTGGAGAGTCGACCGTAGAGAATCGGTCCCTGACTGTGGTTGCACAGCCACAGTCAGAAGACGTCGAGGGAATAAGTCCCCACGCGCTTGAGGAAGGAATTCCTCAAAAGTCACTTGCTGAGGGATTAAGCTCTCAGAAACCTTTGGAAACAAATTTCCAGGAAGAAACCGAGACGTTGAACGTCTTGGCATATGACGGATCGAGCGTAGTCGCTTATACGCTTCATCTGATTGTGCCTCCGAAGCTAACTTCGGAGATAACTCAATTTCCAACTCTTGAACCGAAACGGTTCTCGCGTGATCTGCGTAGTGGCAAGGTCAAGCAGATCTGCATACTCGTCACAGATGATGAGTATGTGGACGATATCCGATCGGCAACAGTGTTTACTGAGAACGAACGGGGTCTCAGTAGCCCATCGATGGACGAAAGTGTCCTCGATGAGAAGACTCGGAATGAGCGATACGCGTCCCAATCCTGGGAGTCACTTCAGGCAAATCCTTTGTATAAGGATTTGATCGAATTCAAGGATGTGTTCCCTGAATTCGTACCTTGCGAGTTGCCTAAGGACAAAGACACTCGACACGAGATCGAGCTCAAACCGGGCTCGAAATACTGTGTCATGAAGCAGTGGCCACTGCCTCGTGAACAAGTGATAGCGATCGACAAGTTCTATGCCGATCGCTTAGCAGCGGGCCATGTGAGGGAATCGACATCCCCTCACAGCTCTCCGACCTTCTGTGTGCGAAAGGCCAAAGGAGGGTGGCGGATAGTGCACGCATTCAACAAGTTGAATGCTGCAACGGTACCGGCTCAGACGCCGATACCGAGGAAGGACGTAATCATAGATGGTATGTCAAAGAGTACCATCTTTTCGTCCATGGATCTGATGGATGGATTCTATCAGATCCTGATGCGTGAACGGGACGTCCCGTTCACGGCAGTGAGTACCCCCAGCGGAATGCTGTGTGAGTGGCTAGTGATGCCACAGGGGCTGAGTAATGCCCCTGCAACATTCAACAGATGTGTAACAAATCTGTTGAGACCGGCGCGAGACTTCGCACCGAGTTACTTCGACGATGTGTTCGTCCATAGCCGGGCTATGGACGGAAGTACGGACGTTGAAGTTCACAGAACTCACGTTCGTCAGGTTCTTCAACTTATGCGCAAGCATAAGTTGTACGCCAACCTCAAGAAGTGTATATTCGCGGCTAGCGAAATACCAATTCTTGGGTGCATCGTGGGTAAACACGGCTTACGCCCTGATCCCGAAAAGATCAAGGTGATCACCGACTGGCCAGTGCCAGTCGATGTCATGGGACTAAGGAAGTTCCTTGGGCTTGCGGCGTACTTGCACAAGTACTCGCGCAACTACGCCGAGATAACTGTGCATCTTTCTTGCTTGCTCAAGAAAGATGCGAAGTGGACATGGAACGCTGACTGTCAGCGTTCCTTTGAAGGTATCAAGCAAAGCTTGATGCAATCGCCGATCTTGGCGATTGCAGATCAGGACAGACCATTTCATATGGTCTGTGACGCCAGCGATTTTGAAATCGGCTGTGCAATAATGCAGTATGACACAGATGGCGCAGAGCGCGTCGTCTGTTATCAGTCGCGTCAGCTGCAACCAGCTGAACGCAATTATCCAGTGCATGACAAGGAACTCCTTGCCATGAAATACGCACTGGCTAAGTTCCGGGTCTATCTCTTGGGAGATAGACCGTTCATTGTCTATACGGACCATGCGTCACTACGCACGGCCGTAAACAGCCCACACCTCTCGCAAAGAATGGCGAGGTGGCTGTCTTTCTTCGCGGATTATAGCTTCTCCATGGAGTATAGACCAGGACGACTCAATGTCGTCGCGGATGCTTTTTTCGCGCCGGCCCGATTTCGAGCCGGACGCACAATCCAACAGTGAGG